GTCATGTCATTATTAATTATTTTTAATAAACCTAACAACCGGATACCAAACAATTTTATCACTAAATTGTGTGTTTCCCGTGAATTACAAGATAAGACATATTTTATGTAGTAAAGATAAGTTTTATTCATTATTTATTATTTATCGCCTATACATTGTCTTTTTTAACATTTGTTTTAAAAAATTTCCATATAAAATTTAAGATTGGGATTTGATTCAGAGGAACTTATTTCTATAATTTAAATTTCATTACCATATGTTAATCATCCTAGAAATTAAAAAAATATTATATAAAATTGGTAATGATATTCTAAGTTACATTTATATATAAAATATAATCTTTACTTATTTCGTTTTGTTATTATTTTTTTATCTATCTACCTTAATATGAGTTGTAAATTTTTCAGCTAATTTTGGTTGTCAATATTTTAAAATATGGCAGAAAAAAATTAGGAAATTAATACAAAATTCTCAAAGAAAATAAGATGTATACTGTGATATGTAAAATTTAAAACATGAATATTAAAAAGAATCTGTATCTATATCTTTTGTCAAGAAAATGAAAAAGATACAAAATTCTTTTCAGAATTAAGGATCTTAGATACAGATATTAGTATCTTATTAAAAATGTCAAAATATACTGAGTACTAGGGCTGGGAACCAATAGTAAAAACCCAATATTAACAAAATATTGTATTGGTATTGGGTGTAAAATATTGGTATTGGTTTAAACAATATTTTCTATTTCTTGTATTGGTATTGCTATCGGTATTGGTTTATATTGGTAATACTAACTATTGGTTTATATTGATATTGGTTTAAATTTAAATTACTAATTAAAAAAATAGAAATAGTGATAATAAAACCCTTAATTTCTAATTTTAAATAAACATGGGGAAAAAAAATAATGATACCATAAAATCAGGGCTAAGAACCAACTCTCAAAATTTTACTGAATTCAAATTCTTTTTTTAAACTAGGAATTTATTAGGTGATGTGAATATAAAAAATTTTGATTTAATCATGTATTTTTTGTATCAACAATAATAAACGTATTGATTTTGAATATCTTGAATAGATTATGGCCGTCAAATAAACTTTTATTTAAGATGGCTGAACTGAATAAATACACATAAATTTTTTTTTGGTTATTATAATATTAAAACTTAAATTGCAAAATTTTATTCGGGTTGGGCTCGAGTCGGGTCGGGTTGGACTAAAAAATGTGCGCTCGGGCTCGGGTCTGGCTCGGACAAAAAAATTTTAAATTCGGGCTCGGGTTGCGAAAAAATTACTTTGCAGTTCTCTAACTACAACACTCTCCGGCCGGATCTTATATTAATATATTAAACTTTTTCAATTGAAACTGGCAAACTATGAACAATTAGTCTGAATTTCATCCTTTGTCATTTATTATGTAACAAATAATAATAGTAAAACAATAACAAGACATTTCTATAGATAATGATTTTCTTAATCTGAAATATTTGTCCATTTATAACAATATTAAATATTTTCGATTACTGATATAAAAATGTTTTACGTTTCAGGAATTAACAAGTGAGAAAAAAGATTAATTAGTTCATATACTGCCTCAATTGATAATGGTTTTAAACAATTTAATTCTTAGCATAAAACTAATAATATTGTGTTACCATTTTAGACAATGTTATAGAAAATGGAATAAGGAAAAATTAGTAGGCCCAACCAAATCAATAATTCTTGAAGAAGAGAATATATGCCGCTAATCCAAATCATAAAACTATATGTTGGTTAGAGCTTCCTTCTTATATATCATTAAGAAAGATAAATAAGTAATCGAGAAAATTATTGTGATATATAAAATTTCTAAAAGATTATCTTCCATTTTTATTGGTATAGAAACGACTAGACAGTTGACCATTATTTCTCATCTAAATTATGCTATCAAATGCTCTCAGCAGCAGAATAAACTTAAATTATAATAGCCACACAAATAACAGATGCTGGCTAATTTGCTGTCACAGCCACGACACTTACTGTGTAGACTCATATCAGAATTTTTTTTAGATAAATTGATAAAACTAAAACACTAAAAATCTTTAGAAGAAGTAATTATATATTGAAGCCTTGAATTATTTACACGGTAAGGATGCCATATTAGAAATGAATTATTTAGTAACTCTAAAATAAGCACTAGAGTAATATAATGAAAGCAATTAAGATTTTATATATTATTGTCGCAACACCTCTAGTTGGAATATTATTTCGTTAAATAATATTCGTTTATAATAATATCAAAATATTAACGTATTAAAAATTTAACTCAGAACTGAAGGAATTAAAAGCTTTCTTAAAAACAATTAAAAAAAGAAAAGGAAAAAAAGATATCTAATAAAGATTACATCCATTGTGGGATGAATAATATATAATGTTTAATTTTTAATAATATATTTTTATTAAATAATAAATATATGACGTTAAAGAATTGAATGCAAAATTGTTTCTTATATTTATTATCAAAAGCATTGATTAGTAAAGTTTATTAAAATATTAACTGTAAAATATATTGTAACTTTCAAATATATCTGTTAAAGTGGCATTTTACCTAATATTTTGTAACCTAATATATATAATAGAAAATTATCAACTATATTTCTTATACTTGATTGGACTTTGGAAATAAGGAAGTGGCATGGTAATTAAATTTATAAATAGATTAGTGATGTTGAACAACTTGGATAATTACAATATTAAATTTGTTAATTTTCTATTTTATTTAATTAACGTTGTAAAATAAATAAAAAAAATCAACCAAGCTTCAACTGTTAATGCTAAATTGATATTTAGACATTATAATTGATATTCCAGCTTTAAAACAGAATTTTATTGTGCAAGCTGACATAGTGAAAATATAAAGCATATGTATTAATCTAATATAATAATTAAAATAGCACTCATATAATAAAAATTTATATAGTCTTATTAATTTTTAAATTTATAAAATCAGATCTATATATAATACTAAATAGAATTTTTAAAGAAATCATTCAGATCAAAAAAAATTATTTTTAGTTCAGGGGGATATTAGTGATCAATTGCTTCAGGGGGCTATTCAAATTTTTCAGGGGGCTCGAGGCCCTACGCCTCCCAGCCCTAGTGACGCCACTGAGGGTTTCCCATTTAAAAAAGGAAATGTCACGATCTAGAACGGAAAATGTGGGTTCAAAAGGGAAAAAGTCTTATCACAAAGGTGAAAGGTTCAATCAAAAAGGGAAAAGTCTCATAAAAAGGGAATTCAATCCAAAAGAGGAAAGTTTTCATTAAGAGGTGTTGTAAATTTGTTGTAGATTTACATTATATTTAATTTTATATAATATTGAATGGAATCTAATAATTTATGAATATCGAATATCAACATTATGTCAATCATTCATTTACTCTTAGGAAGAGGGAGTTAATTATTTTTAATACCTTTATCATGAATAAATTACATATGTGAATTTTAAAATAATGTTAATGCAATATTTCAAGTGTGAATTAGTAATATAATCAATGACATATAATAATCCTAAACTGACGATGCATTCTTATTAATGCATTTGAAAGCGTCGTTTAATGCAAATCAGCTAGACCCACCATTTTGATAACCCACATAGTAATTATTCTCATGTTATAAATTACTATTAAATTGATAACTTGTTTCCTTATTATCTTGATGATCAGGCAATTCTTTAATATAGTTTGAGTCAGACATAGGAATAAATACCTCTCGTTTAAAATTGTTAGCATATGGGTAGTCAAAATGGCAACCCCAGCTGTTTTCATTGATGCATACTTTTAATGAATATATCCTCAGCCTTGGTATTGTTATGTCATTGATATCTATATATATATTCATTCATGGACTTATTGCATTTAATAATAATCTCTAAATGTTATTTATCTTTTTTTTCTACCATTTTTCATTTTATTTATACTTATTATTTTGTTGTCATCAATATAATATAAAACCTGGTATAAATTATATGATTTACATATGTAATTAATCGAAATCTACGATACGCATAAAATATTTGATTGGCATACAATATAATATAAAATATAAAGATAATGTAAATTTGCGACACTTATTTTTATTCTCCTTTATTGTGGCTAAAATTTTGTATAACCTTTTTTTTAAAAAAAGACGCCTAAAATGTTGTTTAATTTATTTCAACTCTAATAAGAATTAAATTTTCCTAAAGTGGATAAGGTACCAGGTCCGACAGCACTACCTGTAAGATATCATGTAGACTCTAATGATAATGTTGTTAAACGGCTTGTTTTGAGCCGATTTTAAAAAATGGCTAACTTAATATTTTAGCCAGAAAAATATTGTCCAAGCCTCGAGATTTCGCTATTAGATATTTAGACCTTGTTGAATATGAATCTTTGTTGTATAGCGCAAAATGTTATATGTCGCATTCATTTAACTAACACAACTCTTTACTTAATGATATAATTTTCTTTATACCAAAATTGATATTAACCTCACTCAATAGTTTTATATAAATTATTTAATAGATATAAATTGATATTGTAAACTATATAAAGAAAAAATTAATTGTATTTTTTTTAGTCAAAATAAATTTAATAAATAAAAATTAAAAACTTATCTTTTAGATCTTGTCTAACTCCTTGCCAACCTTAACAGACCTTTGGGCTATCTATGAGTAAAATCTTCTGGCTTGCGTAATATTTATCTGGATAAAATATCGAGTTTTTTTTAAAATTAGCTCAAATGATGTCCTGTTTAACAAAACAATCTAATGAGCATCATTTCAAATATGTAAAATTAGGTTTTAAATTTTGAGTTTTTATTTTTAAAAATAAACTTTGCGATATTTAAATGCTATAAAAAAAATACCGACTTATGAGCTAAGGTTATCTCCCAAAATATATCCAAATTTTTTTAAACATAATTATAAATAGCACTCTGTAACTTTGGTAAGATCATTAAAAAAAATTTGCAATGCTTCTCATATAAAGTCATCACGATATCCCAATTTTTTGAGCCTATCACGAAACAACTTCAAAGCGAAATTGTAAAGTTCTATATCCAGCTGATTATTTTGCACCATTTTCACTAGCGTATCTTCGCTCAGACCGTTGAACCATCTCATAGATTCTCCCATCTTGTTTTTCAAACCCTCTTTATCCTTAAATTGTATTCCCAACATTTTCTCGAATAAATAGATGGTTTGTGGAATATATTCCGTGATACCAAACGTTCGAATACCGAGTTTCAAATTTATTTTAGCGCTCTCTAGCATCAGATGATTCTTTTGTTCTATTGATAAACTGCGAATAATGTATATTTTTTTCAAATTTAAGAAGTATATCTTATTTATTATAATTATTATGAGATAATGTAGAGCATAATCGTATCATGTAGTCATGACGGCCGGCTGTTAGTACATAAGAGTACAGTTGGATCCTGAAAAAAAATTAGCAAATGGTAGAATTTTTTATATCAAAAATTTATAAGTTTGGTTAGGTTAATAGATGGATTTCATTTATTTAACGAATTTTAAGTCTTTTTTTTTAGTCTATAAGTAGAAAGTTATTCGTTGACATCCAAATATTTTCCTCGTGGGAATTCTTATCGTTTAGATTGTTTATGGAGGGAAAAAATTTCCTAAAAATTATAACTCCTAAATTCAAATTGATAAACATAATAATGATAAAATTTATATTTAAGAATTTTACCTTTTATAAATTTTAAGATACAACAAAAAAATAATTATCTTCAAACTATAATTAATTTTTTTTTCTGAAATAAAATTAATAAAGGTGAAAAATATAAAAATAGAATTTACGAAAAAGGATAAAGGGTTAAAAAAAAATAAAAACTAGAGAAGGGAAGAGAAGGCATAGGAATAGGCATGGAAGAGATAAAACTTAGATAGTTATAGCCAATAGTGGTGGTAGCAAGTCTTTGTCTTTAGAAAAGGGATTCCTTAGCGTGGTCGGTTTTTTTACCACACCGTTTGCCAAATTCTATAAAAAACATAGAGCTTTGCTACGTAAGATGGAATGGAGCTGGCGATGAGTATGAATAAGAAAGAGTCTATGGAACTATATTTGGTGATTTTCCGGGATTCTGCGAGAGCGATGGCATCAACATTGTGGTTAGATGGTGCGTTTGGGTTAATGCAGGTGAAGTCCTAAAGACCCCTTGATCAAGGAATCATGGACATTCCATCAGGACGTTTTCCATAGGTTTTAAAAATGCCGGTTGGTTCAAGTTTAGATGGAATGCGGCAATGGAGGCAATGTCTACCCTTGCGAACAACGTTGGTTTTGCAGTGTTTACATTAGTACGGTAAAACAATTCGCAATTGAGCCGTAGTCCAATAGCAAATCTTAGCTCGTCAGCGGAAAACAATAAATCAAGGGTGTTAGAAAGTATGGCTTCCAGAAACTCGTAACCAAATCCTTGGTTCAATTGATGAAAAACTGTGTGATCGTCATCACGAAGGCTCGATTTTAGATAAGAGACGGAGTCTTCGTTGATTGGAATATCCCAGTCTTTCTGTGAACACGAGGAGGGTCGTGGAGTGTGTTTGGGACAACGGAATTGTCCCAAATGGTCTGGGCCTCAGCTAATAAGGGGTCAGAAAAGTGAGAAAGCTGACTAATGAGTGAGTCAGATGAAAGACGGGAAGCGATGAAAAGAATTAGAGGTGAGCGTTAGCCGGGTCTGGACCCCGGGTCTGTGCTCGGGGTTCGTGCTCAGAGCTGGTTTGGTCGATTATTTAGACCCAAACCCCGGGTCTGGGTTTTATACAACCAACCAATTAACAACACTACCCTCGAGTTTGCATGGAAGTGATGTTTGTTGGAACCATAAATAAATTTTAAAGCGGAGATTAAGGATCTCTTCAGCAATTTGACGGAAGTTTCGTCGTATGATTTTAGTGAGTCGGGAAATTTGAAGATTGAGATCATTTAAACTGTAAATTTATCATATTTTGGCGCTATTTTATTTTATTTTTTTTTAGAATGGCAATGAAATGAATCATGATTTATATTTTAATCTCTTAACTTATTTATAACACGATAAATTATATATACATTATCATATATACTATATAAAATTACAATGAAAATAAAACTTGGTTATGTTTACAATATTTTTACAAAAATTTTAAAAACCAAAATTATTTTCGCATTTTAAAAAATAAATATGGAAAATTTTCTGTTGGTGCCCCTGGTTGTTATTGGTCTAAAAAGGAAAAATTAATCAAAATGGCAGTAAAAAAAATATTAAGAGAATAAAATGAGGAATTTTTATTTTATAACCATTTCCGGTTTTTGGTAATAAACTTATTTCCCAATAAAATAAATTTTATATCATGTTAAAGGGCTATTCTAGGGTTATTTAATAAAATTATTTAAATTTGGTTTTTAGTATTACTTTATGAAATATTTTAAATAATATAATATAGTGGAGACCAGGGCTAGTCGGCGCAATTTTCATCAAAATCATCATAGCTCCGAAAATAATGATCATATAATATCTTACAAAATACCCATAGATACCTTAAACATCTTACTATAAATATATACTGTTATATTTTTTATATATTTAATAATTATATCTCTAGAAAGGTTTTAGTAAAAGTCATTTTTTGAACATAGTGGCCCCGAACCCGTGGTTAGTCGGATCATCGATGGGACTGGTCGAATCAAGTGGTTTATTAGGCTTCTTATGGGACGAGAAAATTTTTTTTTAAGATTTTAATATTTAACTATGATACTTTATTTATATAATATTATCTACATTTAAATATATACTGTTATATTTTTTATATATTAAATAATTATATCTCTAGAAAGGTTTTAGTAAAAGTCATTTTTTGAACATAGTGGCCCCGAACCCGTGGTTAGTCGGATCATCGATGGGGCTGGTCGAATTAAGTGGTTTATTAGGCTTTTTATGGGACAAGAAAATTTTTTTTAAGATTTTAATATTTAACTATGATACTTTATTTATATAATATTGTATTTACAATTATTACAAATAAAATAACCATCTTTTTTGACAGAGAACCACTCACTCTACATTGAAACCAATCTTCAAAATTATGAAAATTTTTATAATACTGTTTACATATAATACACACATCTTTTATTAATGTTTATTTTTATTAATAATAAATTTACTCAAAATTCTATATTTAAATATATAACATCATTTGATTTTATTATCAGGCTAAATATAATCTGATGACTAAAATGTTATATCCAATAAAATGAATTAATTTGAATCATATTATATTGTCAATTAAAATAAATATATTTATAAATATTTGTTTGTTAGATATAATTCATTTTAAATATATTGATATTTATCAGGCTAAAATTTATATGCTAAAATGTTCATATCTAATAAAATGTATAAATTTGAATCATATTATATTGTCAATTGAAAAAAAAAATATATATATTATATTTGTTTGTTAGATATATTTAATTTAAATAATTGATCTTATTATCAGGCTAAAATTTATATATGCAATATATATAATAATCTGTGACAATATATAATATATTATCACATTATGTATTCGAAGATTTAGCTTGCAAGATATTTATTTAGGTTTGATATTATATTAAAATTGAATGTATTATGTAAAATCATTAATATATTACATTTATAAAATATTATATTATCTGTGACAATATATAATATATTATCAAAATATGTATATAAAGATTTTAGTTTGCAAGATATTTATTTAGGTCTGATATTATATTAAAATTGAAATGTATTATGAAAAATCAATCACATTAATAAATTTATATAATAATATATTACATTTATAAAATATTATATTTTAACCTGTAATAAATGGTATTTTTTTTAATGAGATATCAATACAGTTTTATACTTTTGGGTACCATAATAATATAATAAAAATTGACTGATTGCGCCGACTAGCCACGATTCTACTAACCTCAATGGTGGTAATATTTCTAATTAGATCTTAACATATATTTAAGCATTATATATCAATTTGAAACTTTCCCAATTAAAATAGATATTTACTTTCATATAATGTTTATTTTGTCATGCTCAAACTTTTATATTTTTAATACAACCTAATAATATTAAGTGAAAATATTCTAATTTTTAGGTCAAAAACATGTCATAACGGATAAAAATTTAAATAGCTAATTATAAATTATTTTCATCCCTAATTATGGATATTATAGAATTCTATTTTAGAACTTCATTTCAATTTTTATTATTTACTGGTTTTAAATAAAATCCTTAGAACCGAAGCCCCTTGCGCCGACTAGCCCTGGTCTCCCCTATTTTGGAATTTTTTGCGTTTCTAAAGATGGGTATATCTCATGAAGTAAGCTGAGTTGGGAGTTAAAATTTTATATTTTTTATTAGTTAGTCTATATACACTACCATTGTACAAATTTTATAAAAAAATCAAAGAGGGTCGGGTTGAATCTTTAGTTGATTTGATATGGAATGCAACATTTCGATCCAGCAAGTATTAATTTTTTTCTGAAGCTAAGTGGTTGTATGCTAGGGGGGTATCGCATAATTCTGTATATGAATTTATGCTAAAAATGTATAATTTAAAAACCCGGAAAACAAAATCTACTTTTCAAAATTTTAGGAACTAGAACCACAGTCAAAAAATATCTTGAACCGGAAGCAGAAGCCATTTTAGTCTCAGTTAGTGAATGCAAAGCAAAATTCCTTCATTTGAGCCGATTTTTATAGACGAATAACTCAGTATTTTATCGAAAGAAATATTAAGCGAGTCTACACATTTTGCTCATAGATGACCGAAAGGTTTGGAGCACCTTTTGGATAAATCTTGAGACTTAGGCGATATTTACTAGGATTGAGTTAGCCGTTTTTAAAAATCGACCCAAATTGAATAATTTTGCATAAGTAGTTCTAGTTTTAAAACTATGATGTCCTTGATGTACATACATAAAATTTTGTTTAAAAAAAATAATATTACTCAGATCCTTACCTTTTGTCACATTCTATAATTGACATATCGGCTAAATGTCTTGTCATTCGGTTGTTCCCCCATTGATTTTGGCAAGAAATGAATTCTTCCAATGTCAACATCGACAAATTTTGAAGGTGATCGAAGCAGGTAGGTCGAAAAATCAACGTTTCCTCCTGGCACATTATAAATTGTTCGGGCCAATCTGACTCTGTGCGAATGTGGTTGTATTCACTTAGGTATCTTTTCAAAGGTTCCCTCAGCATTGTCACAAAATGTCTGTTCTTGTTTTATTATAGCATATATATTTCAATAAGTAGCTTGCGTAAATATATTATATTTATCTAAAGTGCTAAGTAGCGGCTCCTGGGGAGAAAATAAATTTCAGCTTTTTATTAAGAACCAATACAAATCGAGATTATCGAGAAGATAAAAATTTAATAAAAATTAACGCCCAATAATCAAAATTTGGTGGCCCGCTCGCTTCCCCGTTTACGCGGACCCGCTTCTTATCAATGTCAGCTGTAATTATTAGGTTAATCCTCGAATCTTATAAATTAAAAAAAAATAGTTTTATCCCTTCAATCATTTTGTAAATTGAAGTTCAATTAAAAAAAAATATTTCAATCCCAAATTTCTGAAATTCTGTTTTCCAATCCTATTATGATTGAATTGATTGAATGAGAGACATTTAGTGGTCAGACTTCTTAAAAACCTTTATAGCCATGTCCTAGGGCGTCTTAATTTGGATATTTAATTGCTTACAAAGTATGCTATTGCACCTTATTTTACTTTTAAAGTATTTGGATGCATTTTTTGCTTTTTTTTATTTTATTTTTTTATTTTGTATTTTTGTGTTTTTTATTTTTTTTCTTTCTTTTTTATTTTACTTTTTGACTTATTTCGCCAAAAAAACGGCTAAATAGCTAGCTATTTAAATATTAAGCCGACCTAGGAGACGGCCTATGACCTTGCAAATTGTTATTTTAGCGTTTTTTTTTAAAAAATTTTTTATTCACCAACCATTTTCAAAATTCACCAAATTGAGCGCCTGCCAAAAAAAAAATTTAATCAAAAAAATTGTGGCTTAGCCTTACATTTCAAGTATTTTTTAGCTACATTCAATCATGAAAATCTAAAATGCAAGTCCATTAGAATATAATAATCGATTAAATAAAAATTAGTTTAGAAATAAAAGAAGAATCTAACATACAATGGATCTTGTGTTAATTTTCTTTCGTATCCCTTCTTCGGATACAATATTTTAGAATCTATTTTAATATCGTTTTCGGCGATAAATTGTTGGTAATAATTATTTCCGGTTGTTGATAAACTACGAAGTTTCATTGCCATGGGAAGACAGTCTCTCAAACGAACATATATGGGGTGTAATCCGCAATATATCCAACCATATGTGAGTCGACTATACAGCCAACCTTCAGTAATGTATGCGCTCTCATTATTTATCGTATTCTTCAAAGATTTCGTATTTGGGCGTTCGCAGATGCATTTTTCTACTTGAACATTTTGAATCATTTTTGGTCGGCATAAACACTCAGGATCCACTTGAACATTATGCGCTAATATGGAGGTAAATTCTGTTCCACCGGTCTTTTGTATGTGCACGAAGGCAAGGATATCTCTGTGAAAGTTAAAAGTGATTGGTATGATGGGGTCTAATAAACAATCGCTAGCGAAATCATAGCACTTACCAACAGCGCATTTACAACTCGCCTCAATATTTTGGTGATAGTCGGGGTAAGCCCGCGAAAGTTTTAAGTAAGTATATGAATTAATAACCGACCCGATCAAAGTGTTACTGTACTGGTCATAATTTTTGTTGACGATTAAATTCACTTTACCATTTTGGTGGCGAGAAATGTCATTGATCTCTAGTTGAAAATGATACCTGGAGAAAATTCTGGGAACATTGATAAATTTAGGTGGATAGATTGCTATTCGAATGGGATAATACCAAATAAATACATAAAGAAATATTATTATACACGAGAGCGGCTTACATATATTTTTGACACGTTTTATTAAATACATATATATATATATATATTAGTAAAAAAAAAATTTACAAATAATACTTATTACGATATTGTATAATTATTTATTTTCATCATTTTGTGCTAAATCAGCCAAAAATATTGATAAATATAGTAAGGTACAAAATTTATCAAATATTGTTTACATACCATCCATGGTAAATAAATAAAAATTGGATATCATAACTATTTATTCAACCCCTTTTATTATTGGCGGATTAAATGATTATTTCTTCCTATTTGGACAGAAGTCCCTAAAATATATCATATAATAATATCTGTAGTAGGAATGATTATTGTCAACGGTAGAAAAGAATAGTGAAAATTTTTGAAAAGAAACAAAACTGAGTAAATTTGTCTAAATCAACAAAAATATATATGTATCAGAGACCTGCACGTATTTCAATTTTGTTAAATTTACCCGGGCCGGGCCCGAAAATTTTTTTTAAAAACTATATCCGGGCCGGGTCAGGTCGTATATTTTAAAACCAAATATTTGAAATCGTTATTATTAGCTGTAAAATTCAAAAATTAATAAAATATATTTTAAAAAAAATCTGGGCCGGGCCTGTTTTATAAAAAATAACTCTGGCCGGGCCGGGCCAAAATTTTTTAAAAAAAATCCGGGCCGGGCAGAAAAAATATTTTAAAAAAAATCCGGGCCGGGCGGTACAAATGGTATTTCTGCAGGTCTCTGATATATAATATATAATTAATATAGCAAAAAATAAAGCACTTTAACAAAAAAAAACATTTGCATTTTATAAAAAATATAGAATTTCAATGAAAAAAAAACCATATACTCCTTTACTAAAATAAACAGTAGTATTTAATAAAAATAAAACATAATTTTAATTTTAATAAAATAGAATTTTAATTAAAATAGATAGCACATAATTTCTTTGTTCCCCTAAAAAAATTTTATAAAAAAAAAATAAATAAATGGTAAAAATAAAATAAATGGTAAACGTGAAATGAGATGAAATGATTAAGATATTTTCTTGGAAAACATGTAGTGATTATTGTTAAACGGCTCATTTTTGAGAAGATTTTTTAAGACGGCTAACTCAATATTTTAGCCACAAAACTATCGCCTATAAGCCTCGATATTTCGTTAATAAATGTCTAGACCATTGTTCCTTCTATAAGCAAAATCTTCAGGCTTGCGTATAATATTTTTCTGGTTAACATATTGAGTTAGCCGTTTCTAAAAATCGGCTCAAAACGAGCCGATTGACATCACTAGAAACATGACTAAATTTAAATCGCATACAAGACAAGGTAAAATAATCAAATTTGCTGGAAACATTATATTAGTAAAATTCTTTTCGTACCGGCCGAAGATAAAATAAATAAAAATTTAAAAAAAGCATGAAAAAAAATAAAATATATAATCGATGTTTCACTTTAATATTATAGAAATATATAAGTGTATCGCTGCTATGGGAGACATATCGAACTCATTTACACAATTAAGTGCATTTAGAGATCAGCAAAAGTAGGCCCTGTCCGTACCCGGCGCGGCCCGAGGCCCGTTATGGCGGGTCGGGCCTTAGAAATATATTAAAATATATTTAAATTTATCAATTTCATGTTTAATTTTTTATGTAAAATAAAAATATGAGATTTTATTTATAGAAAGTAGACGCCATATAACTCGTTTATCTTGAGTAATTATAAAAATTAATTTCTATATTTAAATAAATATCGGCCCGGGCTGTTCTGGCAAAATTTTTTCAAAAAAAATATCGGGTTCGGGCCGTGTCGGGTAAAATTTTATAAAAAAATTTTGGGTCGGACCCGGTTTGAAAAATTAGGTCTGATTCAGATCACTAATGTATATTATTTATAGAGATGTAAATTTCCCGCGAAAATTGGTTCAGGGGAAATTTCCCTAAGGAAAATTGGGGTAAAAAAGGGAAAATAACCACAAAATACACTTTAAACCTTTCAATTATTTTTATTAAATATGGAGAACTAAGGAAAAATAAAATAATTAAACAATAAGGTCAAAAATACAATGTAAACATTTTTTTAAATAAATTTATTAATTAAAATAAGCATAAATTATATATTACATTTAAAATTCATGGGATGATTATGAAATAGCATCATCATCTTTATTGGATGTAATTAAAATATCATCATTATAACTTGATATTGATAAATCGAAATCTAAACTCTTTTAATGATATCCAGAACTTGATGTATTTGTGTGATCCTTTAAATGTATGTTATGCCTGATTGATTTCATCTTTATTCTATTTCTCGTTTTTGAATGAATTTTTCCAAATGCTGACCAGACTCTCTCTAACGAGTCCCTAAAGGGTGGTATCGAAAGACATCTTACTGCCAATTGACAAATGGGTTGATTTGTACACAACAGGGTTTAGTATGGATTGAGCTCTCCCATATGCCAGCTCCTTTTAGAAACCTTGTTTTGAACGATAATCTACTAAATTACCCATAATTTTTCCAATCTCGCAATTAATTTAGCCTGGAATAATATTAAATTTAAAGCTATTGTTAACTCAATTTAGGATCCTGAAGATTTGTTACATAATAATATTCTTGGCATCGTTCATCTTAACACTTTTCCTATCATTTTCATTAAAAATAAAAGTGATAGTTTATCTTTTATATCCCAAAATATTTCTGGTACGTCAGATAATATCGCTGTATCCGATTCTACAATTATAATTTTGTTATAAATAAATTTCAAAAAAGTCCATCCTTCTTTGTCCAATATAAATACGCCTTCTTGTTTGTATATAAATAATCCTGAAATTGCAATTTCTTGCAAAACTTCCTTATTTTTTCACGTAACTTCGCGACATTATAACAAAACTCCCCATCTTGTCGGACTTAGATTTTGTTAAGGAAGATTTATATCCTTTCAATTATTTGTCTCTCCTTAAAAGTAACCAATAAAATACGATTAAATTTTTTTTTATATTTAATTATTTGTTTGGTTTTTTTTGGTGATCTTTTCAATAAAACATATTTGGCATAAGGCTGCATTGAAAGTGGAGACGGATCCATTTTTTACAGCCGTTCCGTCAAAGGTAAATCTCATTAAAAATGATACATATGTTCAAAGTGCTTCCGTTCCGATAACCTTCCGTCTTAAAAACGGTTCCCGCAAATTTCGAAGTCAAAACATTCTGACTTTTTGATCCGTAATATTTTATGGAGTGTTATAACGTTACTTATAATTTTTTTAAAAATGAAAATCAATATACATCATTTTTAATGAGATTGACTTTTGACGATGTAAAAAAACGGATCTGTTTCCACTTTGGAATGCAGTCTAAATCTTTAATGGGCAGATTCAAGGCATGTGCGGCACATTCCAAGGCATTCAATATAATTATATTTTGCCTTAACAAGACTCCAGGCCTTTTCCATATTCATTGCATCATCAATTACTAGTGAGATAAATTATTTATTACCAATTTCTTCAATTACCATGATATCAGCTCAGATGCGATATCATCACCAATGTGAGCACTTAGATCCTGTACAAATGGATTTAAAGAAAATGGGTTTTGGGGTCATAATTATGAAATTTAAAATATAAATCATAATTTTGCCATAAAATATTATTATATTAAAGGAAAATTCGGGAAATTTCCCTACCTTTACATCTCTAGGTGGGAATATAGTGGAGTACAGTGGTCATTAAAAGTGATAGTGAAAAATTGTATAGTGGGTTACAGTGGTGTTAAGTGTTGGTGAGAAAAGGTGTTAAGTACTGTTTTGTCGTTTCAGTGCTGATTTTATTAATTATATCATATTGTTTTAACTTAGCAAATAGTTTAAATATTTTTTAGATAAGTTAATTATTAATTTTTTTTATAAATATTATTTAAATTAGATTGTTTTTTTAGAATATTTATATGTAAAATGAAAGTAACGAAATACAAAAATTCCATTAGAAAGAAATAACGAATACCAAAAATCTATACATATATATATATATTTATTTACCTTTCCTTTTTTAAATATTAATTATATATCTTTTACCTCTTCACTTTTTAAATAATTATAGATCTTTTCTTCCTTTCTTCTTTAATTAATAATTAATGAATCTTTTCTTCTCAAATATTTCTTTATTCAAAAATTTCCATAAAAATAATAAGTGATAGTATATACATTAAATTTCTCTAAACATCTTTTTCCTTTGTTGCCACTGTATTTTTCTTTTTCCACAAAAATAAACAAAATACATGGCTAACAACAGGTTCGTAAATATATATATATATTAATTATAATCCTTTAAATATAATGAATTATTATCATCCTAATACAACAATATGGATTTAATTAATTTAAAGATAAGTAAAATTTTTGTTTCAAATTATTTTAATTAATTATTTTTTAGTTAAATGAAGAATTTTAAATTAAATATATATGTTGGTTGAGGTACAATATAATATACTATGGGCAATGGTGATATTGGTAATATGGTTGAGATATTAATAGAGTGCGCCGATATAGGAGTATTAAAATACTAGGGCAGGCGTTGTTAATTGAAAGACCAATGGGAAGAGAATAGATAAGGAGGCTAATGTGGTTGCCTGTGCAAGAGATGTTGCAGGGGTGGGCAAGTAACGAAGACTTGCGAATCGGTGAGGATAGGATGGAAAGTGAAGAGGAAAGAATGGCGATATATCAATGGCATAGGGAATCGATACGGTTGTTTGCTGCGGAAGGGTCGATGAATAGAAAAATGTTATGTTATAGATGTAGGGTAAGAGGACACATCGCCGTAGTGTAGTCTGTAGGGATATTAAATGTTTTGAGTGTGGCCACAGTGGTCATATTTCGACATTTTGTCCTGATAGGCATAACAGCATAGGGTGGCGGTGAGAATGACCCATGGTGTTTGAAGGGCCGGGTGAGGAGTACCAATGTGGTATATGGGTGGTTTGTTGTGACCAATGTGTTTTGGGGGTCAGTCAAGAAAAAGGGCACAATAGTTGCTTTTGAGAGTACCAGTGTGTGATAAGGGAGTTTTATTTGCCGAGGAAATGCCCAATGTGGTTGGGGGGAGGGAGGTGAGAAAAAAATGGCTCAATGCGTTGTGGAGTCGTTTGAGTATCCCAGTGTATACCAGCGTGTGATATGGAAGGTTTAGGCTTGGAAAAATGACCC